CCCACACGCAGCACCCATTCCAACACACACACGCAACAATTGCAGCTTGTACCAGCACACAGCCAAGGCAAGATTCTGCTAGGTTTGGTTCTTGGTTTCTTGCGGGGGCGGCGGCAATGGCGATCGGCACCGACGACCTGGAGGAGGCGCCGCCGCTCCTGCTCCTCGACGACGACGAGGCCGCCTACCCGCGCCCCCGCCGCGTCGCGCTCTTCGTCGAGCCGTCGCCATTCGCGTAAGAACTCACCTGCCCACCCTTCCAAGCTTCCTTTGTGAGGGCCCTTGGTTGCTGAAGCTCTGGTCTGATATTTGCGGCGCCCTCCCTTGTTTTCTCATGTTTGTTGGGTCTTTGGGACATGCGAATATTGATGAAAACTGATTGAGCTGCCAGTGGATTCAGTTGGTTGAGCACTAGAGTTGGTACTACCTGCTCTGCAGTGGCTTCTTCGTTGGGTGTGAAGGAAAAAAATCGTGAATTGCATTTTTTTTGAAAAGGAAATTACAAATTGCGTCGACAGAATCCATTTTTTTTTTGTTAATGGTAACTGCCGATGGTGATTAAGCTGAGTTTCCATGTATGCTCTCACATTTTAAACTATTTTTGCAGCTACATCTCTGGGTACAAGAATCGGTTCCAGAACTTCATCAAGCATCTGCGCGAAATGGGCGACGAGGTACACATTTTTTTTTGATGTCATTGGTTAAGTACTACTGATCAGTGGTGGGTTTGAGACAACCACAGGGCAGTGGATTAGTAGCATGTGCAGTGGCTTAGTTTGGGACGTTTCTGGTGTGTTTTGCTTGCAGGTCATTGTTGTGACCAACCATGAGGGGGTTCCACAGGAGTTCCACGGTGCTAAGGTTATTGGTTCATGGAGGTAAGTTCTCAAGGGATTTGTTTCTACATTCGTCTTGGGATATAAAATGAGCATCTACGCTACATTTAAAAGCTTCAATCTTTTTTGTACATGACCATGAATTGCTCTGTTAAGATACAACAACATTTGGAATTTCTAGTTCTAGGGGCTCAGGAGATCCTGTTCTTTTACAATCCAAACGTATTACCAAATCAAGTACCGCCTTCTTCTTTTCAAGTACTCCAGTCATATACTTTCTGAACAAGTGCTCCAGCTCAGCTGTATGCATGAACTGATGAATGCTATGATAGTCAATCTGTAAAAGATTGTGAGTGATGTGCTCATTTTGATCGAACCGCATGATCTGCCGTGCCTTTCGGTGTCCTATTTATGCTTACAACCGTTTTTCTCATCATCTCCAGCTTTCCATGTCCACTCTATGGAAAGGTTCCTCTCTCACTGGCACTCAGCCCTAGGATCATCTCAGAGGTTGCAAAGTTCAAGCCTGACATCATTCATGCGTCCTCACCTGGAATCATGGTAGCTTCATGGGCACAATCGTTTCTTTAAAATCGTATGTGTGTTCTCCGGCGATCGGTTAGCTGCTGCTAGGTATATATGATGACACTCTGCTTCCATTTTTCAGGTTTTTGGAGCCCTTGCGATTGCTAAACTGCTCAGTGTCCCCCTGGTGATGTCCTACCACACCCATGTCCCAGTGTAAGCTTAACTTGTTGTCTTCCTTGAAAAGATCGCTTATAATGCTCGTGTACCTGTAAATTAATATTACGAGGTTCTTTATTTTCCGATAGCATATAATAAGTATATCTAGCACATTAAAAAAACAGAATGCAATTCATAATTCCCAGAATAAATTGGTAATGTCGTTGGCTTAGTTACTATTGTGTCGGGAACATAAATAACTGTTTGGTGCCTATAGCAATATCAAGCAATTTATAGGATTTATTTATAACACAGGAGTACATTAACAGTTCAGATTGCCGCCTCTTAAGATAGAAGCCTTTTATCTTAGTTGCTAGTGAACCACCAGTTTGATCAGTTTGCCATAGCAGCCGAATGATATCTATATTTCCCCTGCAGATACATTCCAAGATATACATTTAGCTGGCTCGTCGAACCAATGTGGCAAGTCATCCGTAAGCCATCCACTCCTGCTTAATCTGCGATTACTGCAAACAGTCAAATTTTATGTCACAAACACACTAATTTGGTGATGTTCTTCTCCACAGGGTTCCTCCACAGAGCTGCTGACCTAACTTTGGTACCATCTGTTGCTATCATCAAGGATTTTGAAACTGCCCATGTCATTTCAGGTTGGTTAATGATTCTACATGCTAAATTGTACTCCCTCCGTAAACTAATTTAAGAGCGTTTAGATAACTATTTTAGTGATCTAAACCCTCTTATATTAGTTTACAGAGGTAGTAGTACACTGCATGTCCTGATGTTCTTATGGTTCTCATGCTAATGATTTGGTTTATATCATTGTTCAGCTAACCGGATACGCCTTTGGAACAAAGGCGTCGATTCTGCCAGCTTCCATCCCAGGTTCCGCAGCCATGAGATGCGCGTGAGGCTAAGGTGAAATTCCATTTCATTGCTTCCTGAATGAATGGTTATGTACTAGCTAGACCGAGACCAACGACTGTTGGCACTTCTGACATGTTATGTGTTATTTTCAGTGACAGTGAGCCAGATAAACCATTGATAATTCACGTCGGGCGCTTTGGGCGCGAGAAGAATTTGGACTTTCTGAAAATGTGAGCAATGTTCCTACTTTGCACTAGTGTTTTGTGCCTTGCAGTATGAATGGGTTGCTTGACACTAATTCTGGTTTATGGTTGAGCAGGGTAATGGATCGGTTGCCTGGAGTAAGAATTGCATTCGTCGGAGATGGACCGTATAGGTAATGTCATGGTCACTCCTCCATCTTGTTTCTCAAGCTTGCATACATTAGTCTATTGACATGCTCCCTGAAATTAACTTCCAGGACTGAGTTGGAGAAGATGTTCGAGGGAATGCCGGCGGTGTTCACCGGGATGATGCAAGGGGAGGAGCTCTCGCAGGCGTACGCGAGCGGCGACGTCTTCGTGATGCCCTCGGAGTCGGAGACGCTCGGCCAAGTAGTCCTGGAGTCCATGTCGTCCGGGGTGCCCGTGGTGGCGGTCCGCGCCGGCGGGATCCCCGACATAATCCCGGGGGACGCGGAGGGGAGGACCAGCTTCCTCTTCGCCCCGGGGGACCTCGACGACTGTGTCGGCAAGATTAGGTTACTACTGACGGACGACGAGTTCAGGGGCGACATGGGGAGGACCGCCAGGGCGGAGATGGAGAAGCGTGATTGGAGGGCCGCCTCCAAGACGATCCGCAACGAGTTCTACAGCTCGGCAATCGACTACTGGCGGAAGAAGCAGGCGGACATTGTTCAGCCGCTGCAATGGCTGGCGCAAATGTTCATGCCGGCGCCGAACCGGGTCATCGGCGGCGGCATCAAGCAGTAGTGGTGCATCTTAGCCATGATCTAGGCAGGGCGGGGGCTGGAAGATGGGTGGATAATTCCATGCATTCCTTGTAAATTCTTGGTATATAGTGCAGTGTCAATAGGTGAGAGATAGTTTCTGTTTTTTATCTGTGTGAAATTGGGATACTATGATTGGTTGTACTGTAATAGTGGAAATGTGCTGAACTTTCTGGTGGTGCACAAGATCCATCAGTTTGTGGAAGCAAGCAGAATCCACATCAGCCATGTAATGCCCACATATGTACTCCCTCCATTCACTATTGTAAGATGTTTTAGCTTTTTTCATACTCGAATGTATATAGACACATTTTAGTGTGTTTGTTCACTCATTTCAGTATATATGTAGTCTGTATTGAAATATCCAAAACATATTATATTTGTAAACGGAGGGAGCAAGTTGTAAGCTTTGTTGCATGAAGAAAGGAAGGGAAAATGAGGAAACAACAATATATGTGCGTAAACAGCAGAAATAGTGTATGAACCTTTCACTGTCGTTGCTATGGAAACCTTTTTACGACTCACGATGTTCATCACATCATAAGATTCTGCATAACTGTAGAAAGCTATCTGGTTAACATAATGTAAGCTAGTCGTAAATTTGTTGCGTTCGCCTCCATTTCAAATGCCATGAGTCCAGGCATATAACCAGATAAATAATACTCCCACCAAGAAATCACAACACTTGCATGCCATTCCTTGAATCCGGTCGCAGAACCAGATGTGGGGAAAGGAAATGTGTTTTAAGAGCACCGTGCACGGTTAAGAGTGCATCGAAACTCCCATAACATGGAAACAAGACTTGGCAAGGTGGAAAGGGTTCAGAAGACACCCATCCGGAAAATAAGAAAAGCAGATCTAACATATAAAGCCTCCTAGACTCCTAGTCACAACCGATGCCTCGAACGCACCGCATCACGCGAGGAAAAAAACCACCGCATCGCCCCGCGCGTGAAAAAAAAAACAGCCAGGATGCAGCGCACCACGCGAGGAAAAAACCACCGCACCGCGCGAGGGACGCGCTCGACGGCCGTGGTGAGCCCCGTGCCCGTCCTCTTTCTCCTCCATCCCCGTTCCCTCATCTAACCCTAAATTTCGCCCCAGCCGTCTCTTTCCTCCCCGCGCCGCCTGCCCCGGATCTGGAGGAAGAGGAGGGAGGCAGGATCTGGAGGAGGAAGAGGAGATCCGGGCATCCCGGCGGTGGCTCGACCGATGCGAGGTGACGACGAGCTAATGAGTGCCTCTTCGACTCCTTCCTCCGTCCTCGCCGCTGCCGCCACTCCGACTCCTCTCTCCGTGCTCGCCGCCGCTGCCGCCTCTATTTACGTCCTGCGGGATGACGCCGCAGCTCCGTCTGACCGACCCTCATGGAGGCGGTGCTGCCGGCCATCGTTCTCAACCTGAGCTTGCCGCCCCCCTGCTTCTGGTGACTAGCAGCTAAAGGAAGGAGAGGGGAGCTCGACGGACTGCGTCTCATACAGACCCACACGCCCCCTGACTTCGACAAGACCAGGTGATCTTATTTCCTTCCCCTTTTCACAGTGGTCCAGGCAGAGATGGTACAGTGGAGAAGGCAGATCATGTTTGAGCAGACCAACCTTTCTTTCTATAGAAATTTCCCCCCATATTTATTGTATATCAATAGGAGAGAAATGATGTTGTAGTGAAGTTTTCAGTGTTGTGTATGTCTGGTCTGTAGGAATGATGGTCGAGAAAATGGTCCAGAACATAGTTCTAGATGCTCATACAATTTCAGTGTTGTGTATATGTGGTTGCGGTGCAGTTTTGTTGATCTACATGCATTTTCAGCATTATAGTATTGACCCCTCGTCCGCCCCGGGTGCGGAGGCGAGCTTCCCGGCGACGGTGGCACTGGCTTGAGGCGGGGGAGCGGCTGATGCAGGGTTGGATCGAGGCATGGGAGCGACGGATGCGGGCGTCGACCTGCGAAGAGGCGAGAGGAGCGGTGGTTGCGGCGTTGAGCTGCGAAGAGGTGCCGCTCGGGCGCGAGACCACAGAGGCGGGAGCGGCTGCTTCGGGCCCCGGCCGTCTCATTCACCGATGACGGCCTCCTCGGCCTCAACATCAAGGGCCGCCTTCTCGCAGAGAAGAACTTCAAGCTGGTACAGTAGAATCACTGCCCATTCCCCCAACCATCATCATTTGCCTTCATGGCCATAACCATCTTGATTTTGTATTACCTGTACCTAAACCTGAACCTTGTCGTTCCTCTGTTCGTGCCTGCCTGCAAAAGAGGAAGAGCGGCGCCGTCGAGTTCGCCTAGACCATACTCGACTTCGGAAAGGGCCAAGACGTCAGGATCAAGGCCGGATACGAGCTCTATCGCAAGGTACGACGCAGGCTACACACATTTGTTCTGTTGGTTAAGCCGGCTCGTTCCCTTCCCTTCATGCAATGCGTGCAAGACCCATTGCCGTCGAATATACATGTGTCTCTGCTGCATTTATCTACAGAATTAACATGCTAAATTCTATTGCAAATATATTATTCTGACATGGGTCTACTGGGATTCATTTGCTGCTTCTGTTTTGATTGTTCCCACTAAGATCACCACCGCTTGTGCCTGAATTTCTATCAGTCAGCAGCAACAAACCCTTGTACCAGCACTAAATATTATATGTCCATGCAGTGGGAAAGCCAGTTTCTCTTTTGTAAAGCAAAAAGGTTCAGAGCAGCACACACTTGCTCCTCACCAGTCACATTCTCAAGAAACCTTAGCACATATCAGTACATTGGTCCGATTACTTCTGGCACAATATCAGAACATTGGCCAGTTTCTCTTAAAGCAAAAAAAGTATTGCCTTGAATTTGATACCCATTTTTTTCTCTAGCTGGGAACTAAAATGTTCTCTAAGTAGTGAGTGGTAGTTTGTATGAAGATTCTTCTCTCAGTCATCTAGGTTCCATATCCAGTTATTTATTGTTAATACTTAATACTCTGATGTTATTGTACATCATTTCTAATCTTTGTATTTATACTGAAGGTACAAAGCTGAAATGCTTGATGATGCGCCTCGTATATTCGAGGCTGTTTTCCAGTGTACCCTTGAGGTAGGAATTACAACCTTGTTTGATTGTTCGGTCTGGCCAGATGATTACTAAAAATTTCGAAGATTATCCTGAGCCCGCCTCAAGTTTTTTTTTCTTTACTTCATGCTATTGGCACCCATTGCTTCAAAGCTTTAATTCAGCTTTCCAGACAGGTTTATGATGACTTTTTTAATTGCTACTATCAGCTCCTTCGATGTTATCTATTAATACAGAAACCCAAATTACTTCTCTTGAATTTGATCATTGGACTATTTGTTTCAGCAATTGAAGCTTGTGATGTATTCAATTAACTAAGTATGCTTCCTGCTATTTTTTTACACTATTGTTAATGCCAAACTGTTGTCATGACTTACTGGTGAAATTTAGAAGTGATATATTTGCACATATATACGGGTATTTAACTTAACATGATCTGCATGTTCTGAATCTGCAGTTCTGCACTATGCTCTGCTGGATGTCGCCTAAGCAGAGGATGCGGCAGTCTCGGCCACATTTGGTTTTCCTAAGCTAATGTGGGGTTTCTTTCCCTTATATTCTTGCAAGATGTGGTAATATGTTTCATGCCGTCTCCTGTTCGATGAAATGCCTGTGAGCTGAAACATTTTGCATTACATGTTTCTCTGCCTGTGCAGGTTCTTTGTTGGTTCGTTCGACCATGCCGTTAACCAACAAGGTTAGGTCTACTCAGATTGCCTTGGGTTATTACTTCTTGATAATATAGGCCGTGAACTCCTGCATTTGTGCGGCTAGGTTGCCTGTCTATGTGTTTCGGGGTTCATCTTATTATGCTTGTCGTGCTTTGTATGGGTTTTCCTTCAGATCTTGTTAGAAAAAAAATGTGTTCTTGATTACTTATGCTTGTCTTGGTGGTTTTCTTCCTGGGTGATTGTGTGCTCATATGCCATTGGTCGATATCCATGTTTACAGAGGATGCCCACTTTTCTTAGTTTCATACCGATTCTTAATAGTCTTGCAATGCCTGCTCGGGTTAGTTCTTTAAATGAGTAGAGATAATAAATGTATGGGGGTTCCGATATCAAATGTACCACCTGGTTATTGTTTACCCAACTAATACGTGCTGCTTGGTGATAAAGGAAAAACAGCTAAAAAAATAATTAATAAAGTGTACCATCTGCTTATTGTTTTATACACAGTCGCTTGATTCTTTTGTTCCTCTATAGGCCTCTGATCATGTCTGCTGTGCGGCTAGGTTGTTCGTCCGTCTGGGTCGTAGGTTCTTTCCTTCCTGCCAACGGCGGGTACAAGACTCGAGCGGTTAACGGGCAAGCACTATATGCACCATTCATCTATGCTAATATAGCCTGTTTTGTAAAGCCAATGTATGCTATCACCAAGTGATCTGAATATTTTCTTTCAAGCATCAAGCTTTTGTGTAATGGAATATAAGTATTTTAAGTTGATTCTAAATCAATCTCATACACATGCTTTGAATGCTTGGCTCACTCTCGCTTTTTGCGTCATGGTCAAACATGCAGCGATGACTTTGTTTAATATTTATCACTTCATAGCGCCTATATATGACTATCTACTTTCTTTGCTAATAACATTGTAAATAATTAATCGTAAGCTTCTTAGAACATTATGTATCATCACTAAGCATCTATCTACCAGCAATAAATACTTATTTTCATATGTTTCAATATGTGTCCGAATAATATTAATGTACATTCTTTCAATACATGGCTTACTCTCGGCCTTTGCGCCATTGGCGCAACTGGTCATCTAGTGAATACAAAGGCAGGGGGTCACAAACAAGAGCAGCAGAAAATTTCTAAAACCACCAAAAGTAACACAAAGGTTCAACAAGAGGCAATAACCAGTGCAGCCCGATAATCAGGCCGCCGAGCAAGCAAGGCAGCTACAAGCTTCCCTATCACAACACAAATTGGAGCCTCCAATTACCAACAACCACGACGACATTACAATCTACACTGAACAAGCGAGAAAGACAAGTTTCTGGGCACATAGACAGTGTTTACTGTCCATCTCCAGATTCACCCTTGGGAGCATCCTTCATTTCTTCAGCAGCGTCCTCCTGCAGCCAAGTAAAGCGGAATTTTACATATTTAGAATTGACTCTAGAGAAGATAGGATGCAGGTGAAGGTATGCTTGGGATGAATGAAGTACCGAGATGTCCGAAGTCCACAGCGTCAGGTTATCACGCAGAAGCTGCATGATCAAAGTGCTGTCCTTGTACGACTCCTCGCTCAGAGAGTCCAGTTCTGAGATAGCCTCATCAAAAGCCTGACATGAGCAACACAAGAGTAAGGCTACAATATATAGCTCTACTATCTTGGAAAACATAAGCAAGTAGCAGTTCCTAGATCATTATTTCTTTACATCAGTCCTTCAGGTTCAACAACATCCTTTATTTGCCTATCCAACTGTATAACGCATAACACTGGTACCTTGTTAGCTAACACTTGTTATTCAATTATTACTAGTCACAATTATCAAGCACAAATATCAGATAAAACTGTGTTGACTTTGAATCATCTCAGATCCACACGGTTCTATTCAGTCCAGATGTAGATAAGCTCAGCAGGTTATTGTTGAAAACAAACCTGCTTGGCGAGGTCACAAGCACGGTCTGGAGAGTTGAGGATCTCATAATAGAACACCGAGAAGTTGAGTGCCAGCCCAAGCCTAATAGGATGAGTCGGGGGCAGCTCTTTCAGTGCAATCTCCTGAAAGGTTTAACATAAACTCAACTGAGCAAGAGATTCACCACCTAATAATTAAACAGGATAAATCACGCATGAAACGGATTCATTGCCAACAAAGCTCAATGTTAGGACCATGAAATCCACGGCAAGCAACCCACCTGAGCAGCTTTGTATGCCACCATGGTGTTCTCAGCAGCATCCTTCCTCTCAGTTCCACTCTTGAACTCTGCAAGGTACCTATAGAAAACATACATTCAACCAAGGAGTCAATTTAATATGCAATGAAGGAAGCATGCAGGAACTCTATGCCGGTCATTATTGTAATACCTATAGTAATCACCCTTCATCTTCAGGTAGAAGACCTTGGACTCTGGAGCGGTGGATGAGGGGACAAGGTGGGAATCAAGAAGCTTGAGGATACCATCACAGATCTTAGTGAGCTCAACCTCAATCTTTCCACGGTAGTCCTTGATGAGTGTGACACGGTCCTCGTTGCCACGGCTCTCTTCCTTCTGCTCGATGGAGGAAATGATGCGCCACGAGGCACGGCGGGCACCAATAACATTCTTGTAAGCAACTGACAGAAGGTTGCGCTCCTCGACGGTGAGCTCCTCGGAGTCAACTGTCTTGGCCACCTTCTCCATGAACTCGACCATCTCTTCGTACCTCTCAGCCTGCTCTGCAAGCTTAGCCATGTACACATTCTCCTCACGGGAAAGCTTAGCGGGCTGCGCCATCTTCACCGCCTGTGGTTTCTAACAGTCACCAAAGGTCAATCTGGAGTATCGAGAAATTTCAGTTAGCTAAATGTCAGATACCATTTCATTATTACAACAACCACATGGAAGCTTAAATCTAGCCATTGTTACTGAAGTAAATTAGCTTGACACTTCAATCACACGATTTCACATTGCTTAAACCTTTAAGGCGAGAATTTTACACAATAATTCAAACCAACTTAAGCAACAAACTATGTACTGTCAAATCAAAATCAAGCAACCAGAATCCAGAGCTCATAGATTTGGGGCCATTTCTCCCCAAAGTGATTCCATGTGCCATAGGTATGGCACCCCATCTGCCCTGTGACACTTCAACTAAACTCCCACCAACCCATCAGTACCCATACACCTATCCACATTTCCAGGTGAATTTATGACCTATCAGAACCCATACACCTGTCCATATTAGAACAGCATAATCCGACCACCTTGCAGTCCCACTCCCTCTCCGTCATGCCTCTTATCAATCAGCCCGACTTCCTGTGCTCTCTCTTGTCCAGACTAGCTGTTAGGCAAACCAGCTGGATCACCCGCACCGCCCACCTCCACCCTTATCACTGCCATCACCCTCATCTTTCTTCTTAGGAGGGGGCTGATTAGGCATGCTCTGAAAGAACCCGATCGAGAACAGCGACAGCGACAGCTGGACCTGGTCCCGGCCCAGCCTGGGAGGAGGCTGCTGCCTTCCCCTTCCCTGTGCAGGCGCAGCAGGAACACCAGCACGGCGCCGCTGGATGGGCCGGATGGAGACGGCGTGCAAGCGTCGGAAGCCGCCCAGCGAGAGCACGACGGCGCGGAGCTGCTGCTCGGAGAAGCCGAGGTCGGCCCACTCGCGCACGCAGGCGGCCTCCCAGAGCCGCTCGTCCTGCGCGAGGGCCCGCCAGCCCCGGCTCACGCACGCCGCCGAGGCCAGCGTCCGCGCCTCCGCCCGCCGCAGCACCTCGAACATCAGGTCCTCCCCCAGATACGGCACATCTCCCCCATCCGGCGCAGGCGGCGGCTGCTGTGGCGGAGGCTGTGAGGAGGAGGAGGAGGAGGTGGACGCCTCGTCGGCCTGGCTCGAGCTCGCGGCGGTCCGCTGCTGCTTCTTGGCCGGCTCGCTGGATCCGCCGCCGCCGCCACCACCAGAACCGGGAGGAGGCGCCCACGGATCGCGGCCGCCCGAGGAACCGGAAGGGCCCTTCATGGCGAGGCGGAGGGATCGATCTACTTGGGCCTCGCCTCGCCGGATTCGCTGCGGGCGAGCGAGCGAGGGGGAGGGATCGAACACCTGCGGACGCGACGGGGCGGATCTAGATCTAGAGCGGCGTGCGAGGTCCCCTAGCGGGAGG